TTAAAAAAAACTTTTATTTTTTATTTAATTAATTTTAAATTTACATTTTTGTTTAGTATTTTTTATTTTCTTTTTTAATATTATTATAGTTTTTTATAATATTAAAGTACATTTTTATTTTTTGTGATTAAATTTATAATTTTTTTATGTTAATTTTTTTTGAATAAATTATATTAAAAGTGGAGGATTCGAACTCTAATTATAAAGTTAGAGAATGCATTTTTAACAAAATATAAAGTCATCGAGTCAATAAATCTAAATATTTTATGTTAAATTAATTAAAATTAAAATTCACTTGAAAAATGTATTCAACTATTTTTTAATATTCTAATTTTTTTATAAGACAACGATCGGTGGATTTTCAGACCTAGAACTAGAACCCTTGCCGCATTTAAGAGGTAAGTTCAATTTGTACAAAAGGAAACTACCCTAATAAATTTTGTACAATCAAACATGACATGCATTAAATCATGGATGACTATTGTCATACTCACAAATATCAACAGGTCACATATTTTCAATCTAACACGAAATGGAACGGTTTTACCCTCAAAAGAACCTTACATGGAGAAAAGTAGAGGCTCTTACTTATGAGTGATGAATCATTGATTTAAATTTGACATAGATTTTATGGAAAAATAAAATTTTAAGAGGAAAAGAGAGAGAGACAAGAATTCTAAACTCAATTCATCAAGTGTCATGTAAATAAATTCGTTTTTAATATTTTTTATTTAACTGATTTTACAAGAAAGCGTTGAACCCATGAAGATACACAATGGCTGGGAAAAGAATACAAAAAAGTTACACAGGAATATACTGAAACTTCTATCTACCCTGTAGCATTGAAATAGTTAGTTCATTTCCTGTGTGCATTTTCCCGCCAATTGATGAAGAGGTATTTTCGTTAAGAAACGTACTTGTGTAGAATCCAGGTTGTTTAGGTTGCGGCAATGGAAGTTGCTCACCATCCAGCATCAACAGAACCAAGGATATTGAAGGCCTGTCTTCAGGATGCTCTTACACACACAGGAGGCCTATCTGGATGTATCTCAAAACCTCGGATTTGACAACTGATTTCTCCATCAGAGCATCCACCAGCTGCAAGGCCTTCTCTTCATTCCATAAATTTCACGCCTAAATGATTCAGATAATCAGGTAAGAGATGAGAAATGCAGTCGGCATCAAATGTAAAGGGAAGATAAAAGTTCTAGGCTTACATGTCCTAAAAGGTTGAGATCATGGTTGGAATCATAAAATCCTCTGTTCCTCTTCCCACTCACTATCTCTAGGACCAAAACTCCAAAACTGAAGATGTCTGATTTCGCAGGGAAGAGTCCGTCCATTGTATACTCAGGAGGCATGTAACCACTACGTAAAGCAAATACACACATGTATCAATGGTGTGTTTGTGCATCACAGAGAGGGAAGAGTGAGTGGGTTTTGGTTATACTTACCAGGTACCAATAACCCCTTTTGTACTTGCTTCAGTTTGATCACCACCAAACATTCTTGCCAAGCCAAAATCGGATATTTTTGGGATTCATTTTACTATCTAAGAGAATGTTACTGGCTTTAAGATCCCTATGAATGATTCTCAGCCTTGAGTCTCGGTGGACATAAAGAAGTCCTCTGGCAATCCCTACTATGATGTCAATGCGCTTCTGCCATTCAAGTGAGACACCAATTGTTTAATCTGAAACATTTTGCTAAAATTTAAGAAGAGCAAAAGCAGAGCTTGACAACAAATGAAATTTTTGATTGTTCAGAGGAACTAACTGAAAAGATACAAGCCCAAACTTCTGTTGGGCATATACTCATAAACCAGCATCTTTTCATCTCCATGGATAAAACAACCCAAAAGTCGAACAAGATTTCTGTGCTGAAGTTCTGCAATGAATATAACCTCATTCTTGAACTCTAGAAGCCCTTGCCCTGAATCTTTTGAAACCCTTTTCATTGCCATTTCTCGTCCTGTTGGGAGCACCCCCTGTAGTTCACCAAGATTTCATATCAGGTAACAAACCAGGAGATCAAAGTCAAATTTTGTGCCCTGAACTCAAATTTTGTGGTTAAATAGGAGTAATACCTTGTAAACATGACCAAAACCACATTCTCCAATCTTGTTTATGAGAGCAAAGTCATCAGTTGCAGTTGCAATGGTAACCAAATCAAATGAAGGTAGGTTTATGCTTGCCTCCCTGATACTTGGACGGGGATCTTGATCAGTATCATTTTTTCCTTTACTGTCAAATTAGGAAACAATACTCATCTCAATTTCAATTATTCATCAAAAAGCCGAAGCGTATTAGACCCTTGAGATTAATATCCATGAATCCTTAAACATTACCTTTTCTCCACTTGTATATTGTCCTCAAATAACAGCTTATTATACCCAGCAACAGGACCCAGAAATCACCGAGACAATAATGATGCTGTCCTTCTGGCCTTGATTTCAGAACCTGTAATTGTCAAGCATAAATTTCATTCTCCTTAAAACTAAAACAAAATATCATGCATCTTATACATAGAATTTAGATCCAGAAAAAGATACGTACCAAGTTCAGAAGCATCCATTTTAATGTACAAATCATGTCCGCCTTCAATATACTGTCTCATGTCAAGCAAGCTCCCTGCATTTGCTCTGAATTGTCCAATTTCTGGTGGTCGTATTGGCACTCTCAGATGATAGCATTATGGGAAGTTGGGAACTTTTTTTTTCTTCTCTGTTGGGTCACTACTAAATCTTGCATAAGTTAGGTCTTTTTCCTTGCCATTTTCTTCTCTTTTCTCTTAATTCAAAGGAAATCAGGACTATTGGTGATGTAAACCACCATAACTGTCTCTAGT